GTGTATAAATGCCACATTTTTTTTATCCATTCATCTATTGAAGGGCATCTAGGCTGGTTCCACAGTCTTGCTATCGTGAATTGAGCTGCTATGAACATCGATGTAGCAGTGTCCCTGTAGCATGCTCTGGGACCTGAATTTTTTACTTTGTTTAATTTTAATTAATTTAAAATTAACAGCTACATGTGGCTGATAGCTACAGTGTTAGATAGTGTAGAACTAAACATATGTGTGTTGAGGATAAGAATAAATTAGGACAAAAAATAAAATATTCTAGCCAAGGATTTTCCCTCTGAATATGTCATTTGAGCCTCAAAAAATAGTTCCAAAGAAATATAACAGGTATTGAAGACCCATTTTATAGATTAGGAAGATCACACCAGATCGCACCAAATCACACCAGATCGCAATGAGTGTTAGAGGGACAGCCAAGACCTTTTCTCATCTATCTGCAGGAAAATTTCTCTCTCCATTGGACCATCTCATATCAGCCCTCCAGCTCTTCTCCAGGTCTCTGAGCAGGCTCTCTCAGTCCCTTGGCCAGGGCCCAGGTTCCCTATCTCCTCAGTCCTCCCCAGTGCTACTCACCTGGAAGAGCTCCTGAACCTGAGCATCCACCCATTGCTCCATATCCAACCAGCGCTGGAGCTGCACCCGGTCGTATTTCACTGTCAGTCGGCTGGGTCTCCTGGACCTGGATATCCTAGAGGGGTCTGTGTCTGAGGATGATGTCCTCCTCCTTTTCTCAGAAGTCCACTGGACCTTCTTACTTGGGTTCTCCTTGTCTGGGTTGGGAGATGTACAGGAAGCATGGCTTGAAGACAGCATGGAAGGACTGACCTGGGCCAGGAGCTGAGAAAAACTGCCAGTCAGACCAAGAGCACAGAGGGAAATGAGGAGACAGAATGGAGGGAGAGGCCAGCGGGAAGGCAGAAGAGAGGAGGGCCAAGGGCCCTGGGAGTGGTGAAGGTCAAAGATCAACAGGCCTTTGGTGCTGGGAATGCCAGTCTCCTGGCTCCTTACTGCCAGTAAGTGGCACTCCAGAGCTGTGCCCCAGTTTCACTTTCTGTAGCTAGCTGCTGAGGCCCACAGTATCATAAACTATAGACAGGCAGAAGTCCAGAGGCCACCATTCCCCAGGAGGAGGAAAGAAGGGACCTTGGATCCTGAGAGGTGAGGGGACACAATGGGTGCCCTTTGGGGAGCTCTTGAACACCTGAGTCACACACCTGAGAGCCCTCTGCATCCCACCTTCTTGGTACAAACTCCACTCTGGGCCCCCAGGCAGCTATAATCAGTTCCAACAAGAGCAGGGCCTCTGGCTGACAGGGCTTCCTGCTCAGAGCTTGGCACCACAAGGGCAAGTCTCAGGTGGTTGATGAATTGGGAGTTGGCTACCTAAGGACCTAATATGTTCAGTGCCCCTTTATGTCCGGGTATGTCTGAATGTGAGCTGCTATCAGCCTGGCCTGTGTGCTTATGAAGGCCAATTTATCAAGCTTAGTCTACCCTGCCTGTTCCCCAGAGGCAGTTTCTTAGGAAGCCATGTTTATCATCACATGACCCTCTGCTGATTCAGCTCCTTCCTGACACAGAGGAAACCTGCAGACTTAACTAATATCCAGGTGTCAAGGACTAGTACTTTAGATAAGCTTGCATTCTAAAGGGAGGATATGTTTGTTCCTTTGTTTAGTCTTTTCTAAATTTTCTTTTCTTTCTTTTTCTTTTTCTTTCTTTCTTTCTTTCTTTCTTTTCTTTGGTTACAGGAGAATACTATAACTTTTCTTAAAGAAGTGAATGCTCAGAAGGACAAACAAATTAAAATGAGTTTTTCTCCTCTCCCCAGCAGCATCTCCACCAACACCTTGTGGCTTTAGCTCTTCTGCAATCACCATTATTTTCCCTTTATGGAATATCTTTTTTTTTTTTTTTTTTGCATTTGTCAGTTAGACATATCTTTTGTCTCTTCAATGTGAAGGATGAGAAATTAACCTACAGATTTTATAATGGTTTCCTTTAGGATGTTGAGTTTCTGCATGCACTGTATTGACTTCTACTATCATACAACAATTCCTAAAAGAGGTTTGGAAAAACTTGAGTGCCAGGCACAGTGGCCCATGACTGTAGTCAGCCCCAGCTACTTGGGTGGCTGAGGTAGAGGATCACTTCAGCCCAGGAGTTCAAGGTTAGCCTGGCAAAGTAACAAACAGCTGTCTCTCAGAGACAGAGAGAGAGAGAGAGAGAGAGAGGGAGGGACCCTGCTTTTATAAAACTTATAGTTTGGTCTGATGTAGAAATAAACATTAGTTGATTAATCCAATGAGAGTAAAACTACCACTTTATTTAGCTATTTGAAGAAAGGGTGGGTAAAAAGTACTGTAAGAATGTCCAGTCCTGTGAGTCTGTGACCTAGTGAATGAAAACATTCAAACTGAGTTCTGAAGGTTTAGTAGGAGTTAACTAGGCACAGAGGTCAACATAGATGGGTCTGGCTGAAGACAGAGCATATGTGAAGGCCAATAGTAGAAGGGAGATGGTGAAGTTGGGTGGTGGTGGTACACACCCATAATCCCAGCAATTTAGGAAGCTGAGTCAGGAAGAACACAAGTTCAAGGCTAGCCTGGGCAACTTAGTGAGATCCTTATTTTTATTTATTTTTTGGAGAAGATGGGTATCAGGAATTGAACTCAGGGGCACTCAACCACTGAGCCACATCCCCAGCCTTTTTTTATATTTTATTTAGAGCAGGGTCTTATTGAGTTGCTTAGGACCTTGCTATGTTGCTGAGGCTGGMTTCGAACTTGCAATCCTCCTGCCTCAGACTTCCCAGCCACTGGGATTACAGACATATGCCACAGCGCCCAGCCTATTTATTTATTTTTAAAAATATCTTTACTAGTTGTTGATGGACCTTTATTTTATTTACTTAGTTATGTATGGTGCTGAGAATCAAACCCAGTGCCTCACACATTTGAGGCAAGGGCTCTATCATGGAGCCACAAGTCCAGTGCCTCCCCCAACTTATTTTTATGTAAATTTTTTTATTTATATATGACAGCAGAATGCATTACAATTCTTTTTTTTTTTAAAGAGAGAGTGAGAGAGGAGAGAGAGAGAGAGAGAGAGAATTTTTAATATTTATTTTTCAGTTCTCGGCGGACACAACATCTTTGTTGGTATGTG